CCTAGTGACATCCACATAAAGTATGAGGAGCAGAGATGGAAGGTCCCTTCAAGCAGCTGTTTGAGGCTCAGGCCTCTGATGAGCATAAGGACTGGAGTACTTGGAGGACCTTGGGATGGACTGTGTCCATCTGGAGGAAAGCAAGGGAGGTAACTGTAATGCAAGCAGAGCTGCTCACTGCCTGGCAGAACCAGTCCTCCTTGAAGAAGGGCCTGTATGCAGGTTAATGGGGCAGCAGCTCTGTGATGGCCTTGCCATGTCTATGCTGATTTTCCAGTCGCAGCTGCAGGAAGCATCATGCCCAAGCTGGCCTCTTTTCCTACAGAAGGAGCAGAGCCAGCAGCGTAGGTCAAGAGGAAGTCCTGCTTCCTCCACCTGTCTCACAGCCTCATCATCGAGGTGCTCAGGCTCTTAGGGCTGAGCCTGGCCCTGGGCACCCAGCTGGATGCATGCAGCGTGGTGTGGAGAGTGAGTGCCGGGAGACTGGGGCTGCATCATGGGGGTGTGCGCCGGAGCTGGCTGCTCCCCGCGCGGGCTGGCTCACAATGCTGTGGCAGCTGTGGGGCATCTGGCTGTGAATATCCCACAGGTGTCCCAGCTGTCCTAGGGCTGCCCTTGGCGTGCAAAGGAGTGAGGAACACTGTTGGCCTGTGGAGAAGGAGGCCTTGATCCACCTAGGTGAGGAGGCTGAGACCTCCTCCAAGGAGCTGGTGTGAGGAACCGTAGCACCACGGAGGCCTGCAGCTGTGGGACGTTGTTTCTCAGCATCATAAGGTGAGAGAGCCRTGACCAGGGCCTTAGGTCTCTCTCTTCTGGACTGTGGAGGACAGAAGGTACCAAGGCTTGCAACTTCCATTTGACTAAAGCCAACTAGTGTAACTCTTTCTTTTATGGGGTAGTGACCTCAGAACATGGGGAAACTGTGGGTACATGTAGTAAGCAGAGAAACAGCATCAGTTCCGACTAGCATTCAGCTGCAGTTCAGGCTCAGCAGTCCTTACCTGGCTAGAACAGGGACCAGTTGAGGGACTCYGGGGGAAGATGATTGTGTGAAGAATACTAAGTAGGCACTCTTGATTACACCTGCAGAGTTGGTCACCAAGCTTCTCCTTAGTTCCCTAATTCCTGCTGTAACCCTGCAAGAGACTGAACACCTTGGCGGATGTGACCCAAAATGATGCTACAGATAACACATTTCTTTTTCTAGCCTGCTGCTGGGTGAGTGTAGAGGTTGGGAAGCTGGGAGGGAGCAGGAATAGAGACTCTTGTTGTTCCTTGCAAAGTCTCTAGGTTCTTTCACACATTTATAGCATCCATATCTCCATATGGAGCCCCTTGTGCCCAYCATTGGGCAGGAGGTTGCATGCCCTAAGGATGTGATAACTGACTCTGTGCTGCTTGGCTGGGTAGTAAGACAATGACTGGCCTGTTGAAGCAGCTGAGTGTCTTGACTATATGTTACAGCTTTKCCATTACTAGGTATTCTGGCCAGGTTCCTGGAGAAGTCAGAGACACTTTCCTCTAGTCAGTCCTCTGAGCTTTAGAAAAAAATGAGATTATTTGTGGAAATATGGTTTAAATTACCCCTAGTTTTTGTGAACTCAGTGTTTATTTTGAATGCACAATGATTTGTATAAATAATGAGGGTCGTATGTTCATGAGCAACATGATCATATGACCATTAATTCTTTCAGAAAGAAAAGTGCAGGAGTGCATGTAAAACATGTAGTAATGAAGTCGGTTTGATCTTTGCAAAGGAAAATCTTACCTCACTGATCTGTTGCAAGTTGGCACATCAGTAAAATAATAGTTAATGGATAGCCAACCAGCTTGTGCAGCCTGTTCAGAAACTTTTGTAACTCCTCATTAAAAAAAAAATTAAGAAAATTAACCATGGGAGCAAATGTGGAGTCGTAGATCAAAAACTGGCTAAGCATTCAGAAATAAAGTACAAGAATGAATGAACAGTTCCCAGTGTAGCAAAAGCAGGAGGACAAGGTAGTTTGCTATCAATGATCTGGAAAATATGATGAGTAATGAGGTACCCCAAATCTGTGAATGACCTGGAGTTATTTCATTTGTCAAGGTGAAGCAGCTCTAAAGTGCTTCTATGGTGTAACATTAAGTAACAGAAGGAGAGAAGGAGGTTAGTATTAAAAAATGCAAAGCCTGGTATATTGGAAGGAATGATTTCTTCTTGGACACTGATGATTTGAAGGAATGATTTCTTCTTGGACTTTGATGATTTCCAAGTTAGTTAAAACTATTCAGGGCAATGTTGTTGCAGACCAGTTGATGAAGACACTTCTCAGTATGCAAGGATGCAATTGTAAAAGTAAATAATGCTCAGGTACCTGAGGAATAGCACAAAAAGAAATGGTGAGAGCACCAGAACGCTATTCTAGATGTCAAGGTTATTTCTTTATCCAGGATATCATGTGCAGTCCAAGATACCTTTCCTTAGGGTCCAAAGAGAGCAGACAATTTCTGAGGGACAGCGGTGTGAGTGATTAGCCCCTCTTCCTTTTCTCATTCTTGCATTTCCCTCCAGCCTGTCTCCTTTCATCAGTGCTTCCAAAGGAGTTAGGACAGGATATACTGACAACAAGGAAAAGTTCCTTGTGCCGCATTGCTGGTGTCATACAAGTTGCTATCCTGACACTGTCCAGGACGGAGTCTCCCTTCTCTGGTGTGGCAGGAGATGTTACTGTGACTGCTGAGTCTTGCAGTGCTGTTTGATTGCTGGTTCCCATGTAACTGGTTGTCCTTTCTGTGCCTTTCTGTTGTCCTTTCTGCTCTGAGCAGAGCTCAGAGGGGGGTGATCAGCAGTGCAGAGTCCAGTTGGAGGCCTGCAGTTAGCAGCATCCCCCCAGGGGTCGATCCTCGGTCCAGTCCTGTTCAATRTAATCATCAGTGACCTGGATGAAGGGACCAAGTACCCCTTCAGCAAGTTTGCTGATGATACCAAACTGGTATGTAGCTGATACCCCAGAGGGCTGTGCTGCCATCCAGGGGGGCCTGGACAGACCAGATAACTGGGCGGTGRGAAACCTTAGGAAATTCAACAAGGGCAAGCTCAGGGTCCTGCACTTGGATAGGAATAACCCAGGACGCCAGTACAGGCTGGGGATTGACCTGCTGGAGAGCAGCTCTGCAGAGAAGGGCCTGGGCATCATGGTGGATGAGAAGCTGMCCATGAGGCAGCAGTGTGCCCTGGTGGCCAAGAAGGCCAACGGGATCCTGGGGTGCATTAAGAARAGMGTCTCCAGCAGGTCGAGGGAGGTGATCATCCCCCTCTACTCAGCCCTGGTGAGGCCACATCTGGAGACTGTGTACAGTCTCATGGTTTTTCATGGATTTTTTTTTTCTCCTGCTTTTTCATTCTCTTTTTCTGTTCCTGGCAGCTGCTGCTGACTGGTGTTTAATCTATGAATATCTCTTAGAAGGCTGCTTGGTAGCTTTTCCAAATCAGCTGCTCCCCTACTCCTCTTAATGCTCAGCCAAGGTATTATTTGTTGCTGTACCCTTTTTYGTCAGTGCTTCAGCCAGTTTGTGTTCATGCAGTTGCATTCATGTGTCTTGGCTGAGCTGGGAAGGATCACTTCCAGGTCGAACTCCCTAGGACACCACAGCTAACTTTTTGGTGGTCGTTATCTAGACAGCRTTGTGCTGTGATGCTTTTAAACGTCTGAAGCCGAGTAGGAGCCTGCCAGGGTGCACCAATGGGCTAGAAAGAAGAGCTCCATGCCCCCTCTCCTTGTGCTGACCCATCTGTGCTGTGTTGGAAGAGCAAGGCTGACGGGGAGAGGAGCCTCTCTGGGACAAGAGGCCACGGTGGTGGCTTCCCTGGGTTTGGGGGGAGTGGCAGCTCTTTTTTTGGCTGACCTACCAGAATGGCCTCTTCGGCCTGGGTGAGCAGCCCCTGAATGTTCCACAGAGGTGACGTGGTGCCATCCAGCCGTTGTGTGCTGCTGTCACCTGAGTAATGATGGGTTTGGGGTAGTGGCTGCTGGATAAGAGCAGTTGTTYGGGGGTCTGAAACTCTGTGCCTTCATATCTGTTATTGTTTCTTTCTTCAGCAGCTAAGGGGATTTTCTCTCTCCTATTCCACAAAACAATTTTGGTGTATTTTTTGTTTTGTTTTGTTTCTTTCTGTAGATCTGTCCTTTCTAGACCATCCAGTGGTGCTTGATTTCCATTTGATCATTGTTAGCATGGTCTCCTCTGCYTCTGTGCAGAGTAGCTCCAGGTGAAACAAAGGCTCCCCATCTTCAAGCTGTGAAATGACTGTACTGGCTGTAGTCCATCTGTGTCTCTCTTACCACTYTGGAGACAGTGCCAGAATAAAATTTTTGACTGGCAACATAGTAGATCCAAAGCGTCTCTTTGCCCAGCGTGTGTTTGCATCTGAACGTGTCCAAGCCAGAGGAAGGAAAGAAAAGAAGCAGTAGGTGGGACCAGCCTCTGACAGGGCTCTGAGAGGTTGGGGCTGAGGCTGCAATGAGCAGATCGTGATGATTCAGCCTAGTAAAGCTACTGGCACTCAGCCAGGCAAAGGAAATTGTGGGATCATGATGCAGCAACTGTCCCACAGCAGTTTGTGTGACTTATCACCTCCCTGCACCTTTACCTTTTCCTGTGAATAAATGTTCTTGCTGACAAGAGAAAAGGGTCCTGAGACACCAAGCCTTCAGAAATAGGAAGAATCCACAAGAAAGGGGCACAACTAAGTGTGAGCTTAGGGGTAGGAGAGCCAGCAATGGAGGTTGCTGCTGGCAGGGACCCAACTAGTGCTCCTGAAGCACTTCCCAGACTCAGCTACCTTTTTCAGAGAGAGTTGTTCTTGCATGCAGATACCCAGTGAGGCACAGGAGGGCTGGAGATGGCAGGTTAGGTTGGTCCCTTGGGCTGCTTTGCTGGTATCTCTGAACTCTAGCTGGACTACAGCCCCATGTGGCTGCTGTGCACCTAACCCAACCTCTCTCTCTCCCCCAGGGAAGACGATGAAGTTGTAGAGATGCTTTCCTACGTGATTGCCACCCTGGGCTCAGCAGGGGCCACCTGCAAAGACTCCACCTGCAACAACAGCACCAAGGATTACTGCTACAGCGCTCGCATCCGCAGCACTGTGCTGCAGGGGCTGCCGTTTGGTGGCGTGCCCACTGTCTTAGCCCTCGACTTCATGTGCTTTCTTGTAAGTTTTCCTTCCACTGCTTCAGTGCCCTCTCTACCATTCCTATCATGCTAGAGGAATGGAGGTGGGTATGGGCAGGGGAGCACCTGGGGTTATGTGCTTAGCTCCCAAGGTAATTAATCATGAAAGGAAGACTGCGGTTGGTGGTTACAGTGAGGGGATCTAAGACTCCATTCCTGACCTTGCTGCTGAATGACTGTGTGGCCCTGACCATGGCCTTTAGCCACTTCTGGTAYTGATTTTTCTCCAATACTGCTGCATGCAGCCCACAGAAGGGAGCTGTGAACCAGCTTTCCTGAGGACATGGACAGGGTTAAGTCAGTCCTGCTGGCATCCCAGAACTCCAGTTTATGAGGGGAAGTCCTCAAAGGTTTACCTAACCAAAGGTTCTGCTGGTTCCTTTTTGGGAGCTGCAGAACTGCAGATATTTTAGTCCAAATCTCACCTCCTTAGGACCTGGGACCAGACCCTCTTGCTCATCTTGAAATCATTGGGTGTTGTGTCCTGGATCTCTGCCTCCAACAGCCACCTTCATCCATCCATCCATACATTCAGAATTTAWCAGCCACAAGGAACTCATGCTGTCCTGCCTTAGCTTGCTCCTAGTATAGGAGCCCTGTCCCCTCCTTACACTACTGTTCTAATGGCTCGGGACAAGGCAGAGCTGAGCAACTCYTGTCTCGTAATTCTGCATTCACTGTCTTCCAGGCACTGCTGTTTGTCTTCTCAATTCTTCGTAAAGTTGCTTGGGACTATGGACGTCTGGCCCTGGTGACTGATGCTGACAGGTAAGCTTGGGAGAGGGACAGAAGGGTGAATGAGGTACAAGTAGTGCCATTCCTTGCTCAGGAGCAGGATGACCAAATTCCCTTATGTAAGCATAGACCCTCATGCTAGYTGTGTCCATGGAGCTCTAGAACAGACACAAAAAAATCTTCTAACCAGCTTTTGATACTGCATCCTCATGGTGAGAGGCTGCAGGATCATACACTGACCAAGGTGTGCAGGAGGYTTTGCGGGGCTCCTGCCCTGCAGAGGCTGAAATGGCCCGAGGAGGAAGAGAGGTTGGAGAGGAGGAGGAGAGAGGGAAAGAGGTCCCAGTGAAGTTGAGGACTGCCACAATAACTGCTTTGTTAAGCCTCTCAAAGTGTCTTTGTGGTCTTGCTAGATCTAGTTCCTGTTAAGAGAACCCGAAAGCAGGAGGCTGTGTTTCCAGGTGCTGTGGTACTTGTGCACCAGGCTCAGGCAGGAAAGGCAGCAGATGGGGATGGCTGAGGTGCCTGGCCAGCGCTGTGGGTGAGTGGCACAGAACAACAACAAACAAACTGCCAGTCCAGCCCATTCTTGCTGGTGGTAAAAGGTTTGTGCTGAGCACAGGAGCGAAAGGCAGCAGGACATGCTGCATACACAGCTCTGCAGCCGGAGGAACAGAGCAAGGGGCAGTGCAAGGGGGTGCATCCAGCAATCTTTGTGTCTTGAGTGTGTGCGTGTGTCTAGTTACTGTGTGTGTTGGTCAGGAAGCTAGTCAGCCTGGTGGTGAAGCAGGAAGGAGGTGAAGGAGCCGTAAAGACTGTGTGTCTGCTTCTGTGCTTACAACAGGTTATTTCAGATCCCAAGTGTTGAGGAGTTAGTCTGGTACATGTCCTCCCTGCACACTGTGCTGTGAGCTACTGCATCTTTTGGCAAAAGTCAGAGACTTTTGTGGATGACAAGCCCATGTATCAGTACAGAYTGGGAACTGACCTTCTGGAGAGCAGCTCTGCAGAGAAGGACCTGGGCATCATGGTGGATGACAAGTTGACCATGAGGCAGCAGAGTGCCCTGGTGGCCAAGAAGGCCAGTGGGATCCTGGGGTGCATTAAGAAGAGCGTCTCCAGCAGGTCGAGGGAGGTGATCATCCCCCTCTACTCAGCCCTGGTGAGGCCACATCTGGAGACTGTGTCCAGTTCTGGGCTCCCCAGTACAAGAGGGATGTGGAGCTGCTGGAGAGAGTCCAGCGCAGGGCTACGAGGATGATCAGAGGCCTGGAACATCTGCCCTATGAGCAAAGGCTGAGAGAGCTGGGCCTGTTCAGCCCGGAGAAGAGGAGGCTGAGGGGGGACCTGATCAGCGTGTATGAATACCTCAAGGGAGGCAGTGAGGAGGAGGGGGGCGGCCTCTTTTCAGTGGTGGCCAGTGATAGGACTAGAGGAAACGGCCACAARCTGAGGCACCAAAAGTTCCACAGGAACTTAAGGAAAAATTTCTTGACAGTGAGGGTGACAGAGCACTGGAACAGGTTTCCAAGAGAGGCAAGATCTTCTCTGGAGACCTTCAAAACCCGCTTGAACACTATCCTGTGCCCTGTGCTCTAGGTGACCCAGCATGTGCAGGGGAGTTGGACTAGATGATTTCTTAAGGTCCCTTCTATCCTTAAGGATTCTGTGATTCTATGATAATTCCACAGAGTGTGAAATGTGTGGGAAGGTTTTTAAGAAAGTGCCTTGCTATTCTTGTTGGCAATGGGAAGACTGAAAGTTGTTTTCTTCTAGCAGTGAACAAGGGACTCTTAATGAAGGATTTGTGCAAGTAGTGCAGGTAGCCTGTCTCACCCTGTTGCTGTAGGCTCCATGGATGTTTTGCTGTGTGTTGTGTGCTGCTGGCTAAGTATGGCTTAAGGCAGGCTGTGGTTTGTGCACCTTCATCTTGGTCAGCTCCACGGGCCTTGGATGGGGCTGAGGTCTGGCCTCTTCCAGTTCCCTTGGCGATACCAATTCAAACAAGCTGCCTCTGGGCACTCCCTGCGCAGCAGTGGAAAGAATAACAGAGTTGTTTTCTTCCAGCACTGAACAAGGAGCTTTCTTGGATTAGATACGTAGTGTTGCTGTGGCAGCTCTGCCTCTGCTTTGCTGGGTCGGCTGGGGAAATCAGCCAAGCAAGGGCCCTGGGGAGCGAGAGAGAGGAGCAGGAGGAGGGAAAAGGCAGATGAAGTTTCATTGAGGAGAGAGTAGCTCTCCTCAGGATTAAGTTATACTGAGGCATCAGTGGGGAAGATACAGGGATACAGGGGTATTGGGACACAGGGTGGTTTTGGGGGGAAATACAGGGTTTTTGTCCCATGATGCATGTTGACTGCCCCAGGACRGGGAGGAGAGGGGTGGAATGGAGCTTAGGGAGCTGCTGAGAGTTGGAGAGCAGCTCTTGCAGGCTGTCCAGCCTGGCCTGGTTCCTCCAGAGCAAACCAGTATGGCTGGGACATTGACCTAGACTGTATTCCCAACCAAACTGGCTTCCTTGGGGCTTATGGCAAAGAACAGTTTGCCAGTGTAGCCCAGAGGCCAGTAGAGGACTTTGGGGTACCATTGACTCAGGATAATGTGAGATCTGGAGGAAAATTTCCCTTTGGTTTCCCTCTCTGGCCTAACCATCAGCAGATTTCTCTTCCTCAGGCTGGTGTGGAGCCCGGCTGGGTACAAGTCCCTTGGGATGGAGGAGATTTCCCCAGCCCCTGCTCGCCTGTTCCTGTGTTTGTAACTTCTCCTTTTCTGTTTCTGTGCCCCCAGGCACCGGCGCTGGCAGACGGAGCGAGAGGAGCGGGAATAGTATGTTGCTTTTTCAGGGTCTAGCTTCTTCTCTTCCTTTYTCTTTCTATCTTTCTACCTTTCTTTTGCAGTTTTCTCTCTTGCTTCTGAACTAATCTTAACTGACTGGGAGTTCAGGGCTTGGATTTGTCACCCCCAGTGGATTCATGTTTTTTCCCTTCCTTCTGCTTTGTGTCAGCCACTTACCACAGCTGAATGTGCCCTGTTTTTCCCCTGGTAGCCCTTAGATGCTCCCTGCTTGTAGCAGTGGTGATAAGCTCCTAGTCCCAGCTGAGGTGAAAGGTGCTATGTGGCACCCCTGCCACTGCCTGGCTCTCCCACTTTGCAGCTGAGCAGCTGTAAATGCAGCTGGTTGCCTCAACACGCAGCCTGCTCAGGCCACCCGGGCACAGAGCAGCCGCCTGTTCTTTCCCTTGTGCCAGTGACCCATGAGGGTTTCCCTCGAAGCAGCTGCAGGGCAGGCGTGTACATGGAGAGGATCTGGCAGAGAGGTGCAAGTTCTTCCCTCATGTCTGTGAGGCTACCAGGAACAGCGCAAGTGCTGGCCCTTGTCACTTGCCACCCACCCCAGGTTGGCAGCACACCCAGCAAGGCAGCATCTTTGTCCCTTCTCTCTTTCTCCATTCCAGATACTTCCACGTAAGCAAACTTCCTGCCTCAGCACGACTGAGAGCATCAGCCAGCACCTTGGTCTGGCATTGCTTCCAGGGCATCCATGAGGGCTGCAGCTGGCTGCCAGCTCAGCACTATCCTGGCTCTTCCTCATACTCTTTTCTCTTTCTTGCTGCTTTATATCTAAGCAATGACCTCCTCCCATGCCCTGCCACCTGGCTGGGTGATGCACACTGCGGAGATGATGTGCTAGTGGTGCAGAGCCTGAAATGGTCACTCAAGGCACATGGAAAGCAGTGGTTGAAGCCTGATGACTACACACTGCAGTCTTGCTTCTTGTTTCTGCTGACCTCTATCACCTGTACGGGAGCAGTCCTGCTGTTACTGCCTCTGCAGAATACAGGAGTGATCCTTTCTTTTTGTGGCAACTCCTTGATCCTAAAGCAGAGTCATTTGAATTGTGAAAACAGAAGTGGTAGTAGCAGTGACTTTGTACATGGGGACCCCTTGCTCATGCTTGAATGCTTCGCTAGCAATTGGACCTGCTCCAGGAGTGTTCTGGTAGCTCCTCAGCACTAACATGTAGTCTGGGGAGAAAGACAGTGGTTGCAGAGACATCATGCCCCTGCCCTGAGGTCCAGAACTTGGTCTTTCTGGAGGAACACTTCCATCATCTCATGATGGTGCTGTTCTSTCTCCAGGGTATTATTCCTTCCTCCTGTTCCCTTTCCTCACATGGGGTATCTGAAGGTCCCTGCTAACCTCCCAAACTTAGTGACTGAGCGAGGCTAGTTTTGGCAACTCAGAGAGGTCAGATAGGAAACTTGGTCTGATCTGTGCTCCTCTGAGGCTGACAGCATCTTCCCATCTTAACTGCTAAGCAACTTTACCCCCACCTCCATTATTAAGGGCAGTGATCGCAGAGCTCTGTGGAGTTCCATATCCACATGGCCACCTCTGGCACCACACTGGGGCAAACCTTCTCCACAGCCTGCATAGGCAATCTGTTGCCTGACAACTTGCCCTTCCCCACAGCCTGCAGGTCTCCTTGACCTGAGATTGGCAATGCTTTGGATCTAGTTCCTCTCTTGTGACAGTGCTGGCACCAAACYTGGACCAGGGGTGTGGAGGAGATCTTTTGGATACCACCCAAATCCTCCCAGTGATAGGACCTGGGGCAGGGATGCCTCCTCCCAMTCAGTTTGTTAATGCTTTGCTTTGAAAAGCTTCCAGCCCCAATGTGGCTGCCTCTTAAGAACTTTCCATTAAGTATGCTATCTTTGGGATGGGTGGACACCCTTTATCTTAGCACTGCAAGTCCTTCCTAGTGGATCTAGTAACGCGGCACTCATTTTTGTTTCCTTAGTTGTTTCCTTCAGTACCGTTCTGCCCTCAGGTGCCCCTGGTACCCGAGGTGCCAAAGCCACCTCGTGGTGTTGCATGGGATATCCACAACGCTGCTGATAGCAGACATTCAGCTTTGTGTGTCCAGCTGTGAAGCATCTAGGATTTTATAGGGCTGAAGCACAGAAGCCACTGCAAAGCATGCTCTATCTCTCCAGTGGAGCAGTATGTGCTAACTTACATGACTAGCAGTCGCAAGGCTACATGCTGCTGTCTAATCTGCTCTCCTGTAGTCCCATGACCTTCAGCTAATCTCCTTTCCCCTCTCTGCCTCACTTCCAGCTAAGGAGGGCTCAGCAGGTGCTGCCCTGCTCTCCAAGGGAGGCAGCGTGTCCCATTCCCTTCCCTTTGGCACGCTCACAAGAGGTTTTGCTCCTTTTCCTTTGCACAGTATCATTCACCTCATCACTGCTGTTTGTCTCACAGCTTTTTCTTCTCTAGGTTCTCATCCCTCTAATCCTTCTTGAGTCTGTACTGGTTACAGAGGGACCATGTTTTCATCCATTTTCCTTTGCTTTTATCCTTCAGATCAACCGTATCTCTTACACCTCCAAGATCCCAGCCTGCTGTTGCCATTTTATGAGTGCTGTTTCACTTAGGTCTCTGGACTGTTTCCACACCTCCTTTGCCAGCTCGCTTCCACCTCCATTCCTAATGAGGGCTATTGTCTGCCTTGGATRTTTCCACTGTGGGTTCCCCTAGGTCCCTGCCTGCATGGGGAGTAGAGCAGCCTGGGGTATTCACCTCTCATGCTTCCTGCCTTGCAGCCTGCAGCCATTCACTTGTCACTGCCTCCTGCTCTAGGAGTTTCCAGCCAACAGACCCAGATCATGCCGTGGAGGAAGCTGAGCTGAGCCTGGTTTCAGGGAACAAAGACAATAGTGGCTCAGCTGGATTTCTCCTTTTCCTGAGTTTCCCCTGCCCTGAAATGCTAAGAGGCGGAAGGACTGGTATAGCAGGAACACGGTCTGCTAGGCTCCCACTCCTCCTCTTTCCTAGGGCAAGTGCGGTCTGCCGAGACCGGCTGTCCCAGCTGCCGTCCTGGCAGGCGTCTCCGAAGCACCGGGGCTGCCGCCTCGTGGCCACGCAGCGGGCCGGCGCGTCCGAGGGGGACCTCCTTCCTTCCCCTGCGTCCTTTCCCTCGCCCTCTTGCTGCAGGGTAAAGCGGGCTTCAAGGCAAGAGATTTCTGCTGCCACTTCATATCCTTTGATTGCAGTAGGTGGATGTAAATTATCCTAGAATAGCAATTGCTCTGTATGCTGGTGCTTAAAAATACCTGGTCAGTAGTTCCTTCTTCAGGGATGGACGGTCAGAGCAGGGATTCCCCCTAGGCCAGCAGGATTTTGCCTGCATTGGCCCCAAAAGTGTTGACTGGCACCCCTAGAAGGTGTTGGGCTTGGGGGCAGCCTCCCACATGGGAGTCTTGACTGCCACATGCAGCCATGGTGCTACTCCCCTGCAGCTCCCCTGTGGCTGTGAACTGTATTTTCTGCCTCTTGGCTTCCATAAGACTTGCTAGCAAAGAGCTTTGCAGGCCTACAGCCCCGGGCTCATCTCTGCAGTTGCATTACAAGGGAAAAACAGGAGCCCCTGTCTGAACACTTACCCCGTGTTGTGGTGCCCTCCCCTTTATGTCTCCTTTCCTCTTTCTAACCTCTGCACTAAACAGACCTAATCTCTCCTCTGAGGCAGCCACTGCCAAGCCCCCTCACAGGAGGCCGTGCACAAAGTGGGTGCCTCTGAAAAAGGAGGCAGTAAGGTTCCTGAGGGAGCACCATCCATGTCCAAGCCCACAAAGGCTAGCAGAGCTGAGTCTCATGCTTGTGAGCAGACTCTGGATGCCGGTTGTTTCAGTGCTGTCTGAGGAGGGGCTCTCTGCTTACTGCTTTACTCTGTTCTTTGAGACTGTTCTCTCTCCATCTAACCTGGGGCAAACTCACCTGAATTAACCTCTGATCTTCTGGGTGCACTTGGTTCCTGGCCAAGCTGCCTCCTCTCATCTTTTAGTTTTCTCTCACCTCTGCTTGTCATTTTAGCGTGGCCTCTGCTCTGCACTCTGACAACCATGACCGCTACGAGCGCCTCACCTCTGTCTCTAGCTCTGTGGATTTTGATCAGCGGGACAACGTGAGTAGCAGCAAGCAGCAGAATCAAACGGGTTGCTTTTGAGTTGGTAGGAACCCACAGGCTCTTTGAACTAAGCGCTCTTCAGAGATAATGCTGTTTCCCTGAGCTTTAGTCCAATACCTGTGTGTGAACATGGAGTAGAGCTCAAGGAGATGTGGGAACCTAGTCAGGTGCTTTGATCAATAGTTTATATGTCACTGAGCCTTACTGCAGATCCCTTTCAGCCCGTATTCTCAGCCTCACAAGCCATAGTCATCAAGAGAAGTCTATTGACTGTTCCTCTTGTCTCGTTGCAAAATATCACTGCTGCTTTCTTCTGTAATCTAGGGTTTCAGTTCATTAAAAAAATGGGGTGCAGTGAATGGAGGGATGAAATTCCTAGAAGACATTTCTCCCCTGAGTGTCCACCGAGGAGAAAAAGCTTGGTTTCCTCTGCCCAGGAAGTTGAGCTACTAGTTATCAGGATGCAATCTAGGGGCAAAGTCCAGGCTGTATTGCTTCCCATGGGACAGTATGTTGAGAGAACTCATCTCCYCCAGATGGACATGTTTGTGGCCCTTCACTTCTGGGCCACTGTGGTCTGTTCCCATCTTGTCTTGAACCTAGATCTGTGGATGTGCAAGGAGACCAGCCTGCTTCCCTTGGCCTCTAAAGGAGGGAGCAGGGATAAGGGAGCACAAAGTTATGCAAGGTCTTCTTGTCTTCTCTTTGCACAGGGTTTCTGCTCCTGGCTGACAGCCATCTTCAGGATAAAGTAAGTACTCCAAGGCCTGCATGGGGGACCTGCATGGGCAAGGTGAAAAGCAAGTGTATGGAGTTGTGACACCAGGTGCAGTAGAGCTGCCTGAAGTCACTGCTTTTGCTGCAGCTCCTCTGAAGAGCTCACATCCTGTATGGAGAAGACAAGCAAAGATGGGCCTAGTGGCCTACCTCACAGATGAGGAATCCTAGGGCCAAAATTAAGGTCACACAGTAAGTCTGTGACAGTGAAGCACCCTGTTCAGGTCTGCTCTGCCTCAGTCACGTCTCTTGACTCTCAGAAATACTGTCAGCTGCTTTGCAGAGATGATTCTCTGCCTGGGACTACTTTGAAGGATATTGTTTTCCAAAGACCCCTGGCAGTGAAGACAAGATTAGAGTATGCAGGGAGACCCCTCTGGACTGATGATGCTTGAGAGTAGTCTTCTAAGCTCTTTTGGCTTCAGAGCATTGTGGGTTAATGTTAGCAGTCCAGTATCCCATTAGTTACAAGTAAGGCCCACGAGGAAAATGCATGTTAGATGTGATTTGCATGAGTTTGACTGCCTTTCCCTGGTTAAGCAGGGCCAGGAGCATGAGAGATTGAGCTGCAGTAAATGTTGTGGGATCAGGTTTCTGTCTGGACTGGTTTAAAGTCCTACCAGGGATTGTGCCATTGCACTGTTCTGGGACTGTGTGGTCTAGTGGTTTAAACTATGCAGGCTGTCATGACCTAAGTTTTTTTTTTCAGCACTTTGAGGGAGCTTGGAAGCTTGTCTGACTGCCTCTTTTTTGCCTGGCAGGGATGATGAGATCCGGGACAAGTGTGGGGGCGACGCAGTGCATTACCTCTCCTTCCAGAGGCACATCATCGGGCTGCTGGTCGCTGTGGGTGTGCTCTCTGTGGGCATCGTGTTACCTGTCAACTTCTCAGGGGACTTGCTAGGTGAGAGCTGAGATCCTCTGGTTGGGCTGGGGAACATGCTTTTCCACACCATTGCCCAGGAGTAGTAGGATGGCAGGATGGGACTAAGCAAACCCCAGCTCTTATCCCATGCCATGAGATGGAGCATGCAAAGGGTCATGCTGGGTGATTTGGGTTTTAGGGTGTTTTGCAGGTGAAATTCCTGCCACTCCTGAACYCACTGGGTGCTCTGTGCCATCACCCACAATGTAACTCAATGTACCTGTATCTGCTTCTTTCCCCAGAAAACAATGCCTACAGCTTTGGGAGGACAACTATTGCCAACCTGAATTCAGGGTACGTGTGGGCAGGGTTGAGATGGATATTTGAGGATACCAGGGTGTATTTTGCAGATGCACACTTGTTGCAATGTCTCAGTTTCTTGAAAGTTGCATTTCTGTTCTTGCACTGAGGCTGCTGTTCCTGCTTGTATCTTGCTCCTATTTGCAGATTGAGYGCTTGGAAGCTGTTAGCAGGGCAAGTGGATGTCATAATGGTTGCTGCCCATGGCCTCAGGGCCTTCAGAGTCTCAGTGGCAGCCTTGTGTTGGCCTTTAAGTATAGTCTCTCTTGTGACAGGAATAACCTGCTGTGGCTGCACACGTCCTTTGCCTTCCTGTACCTGCTGCTGACAGTGTACAGCATGCGCCGACACACCTCCAAGATGCGCTACAAAGAGGATGACTTGGTGAGCAGGATCTGACCCTTGTCCAAGGAATAGATTCCCATGCCCTCTTGTCCAGTTGGGTGGCCTCAAAGACCATCTCTTTCTCTGTAGCAGCTTGGGGATTGCTCCTTTTTTGGCTTTGTGTTGTGTTGGTTTTTTGTTTTTTGGTTGATTCTGTCTGGTGAGAGGAGATAGTCTCCCAGAGCTGCAATCCTGATTCCCAGTGGGGAAAATCAGAGAAGCCTCTGCTGGGTGAGCACGTGTAGACCTTAGCCCTTGCTCAGGAGTTGTTCTAGCTGCTGAATGGGCTTTGGGCTCCCCCCATTTGTCTATGCCTTCCTTATTGCTTAAAGGTACATCCTCACCACCCCACCCCCTTGCTGTTGAGGCCTCTGCAGCAGGGTAGTGAGTCAGTTTGTCAATCTGCTGCCTGTCAAGATACAGGACACCAATAGCTAGCTGCCCTTCTGGTTGCCGCCTGAGGCCTTGGTCTTGCGGTCTTGTCTTCTAAAGGACTCACATCTGCCTACCTCCTCTTTTTTATTTTATTTTACTTTTTTTTCCCCTTCTTTTCAGGTGAAACGAACTCTTTTCATCAATGGGATCTCAAAGTATGCTGAGCCAGAGAAGATCAAGAAGCATTTTGAGTGAGTCTCCCTGTATGCCTAATTAAAGTCTGTCCTGAAACAAGGATGTTTTTCCTTGGGTAGTGCTGCTCTTGTATGAGATGGCAATAATGCATTCAGAGCAGAAATCTAGGCAGAATCAGTGCTCTGAAAATCTTTGTTCTGGAAATCTTGTTGTAGGCTTTTTGTTGTTGTTGTTTTGTGGAACTATATTTAAAGATTAATCCTGTATCTTGGAAGCTATGTCTTTGCAGAGCCATCGTGGGTCAGTATGGGAATTATTGATGACAGTACATCTCAAGATGTAGTCAAGTTCAGGGATGAGAAAGGGGGGACAGGAGACACTCAGGAAGTGTCGGTGGAACATTGTGCTGCTGCTTCTGCCTTGATTGTACATTTGGCAAAAACACTGTACAGCTTCTCTTTTATCTCCTGTCAAACATCCCCTTCCATCAGGACCTCAGTGAACACATTGTCAAGAGCTTGTTTAGAAGCACYGTAGAGAAGCAGATTATTTGAACCCTTTGAGAACCCTCCTGCCTCTTTCTTTGCTTTTTGCCTCTTTGTCTGTGGCAATTGAAAGCAAATAAGGTACATGCTGTTGGAGGTGTGCCTTGATGCCACAACAGTAGTTCTCATTTAAAAAAAAAAATCTCCCTTCCCTCTGCTCATTCTTTCTTAACCAATTTTCCAATATCCTTGGAAATATCATGGATAGTCTCAGTTCCTCTCCCAAACTCTGAAGAGTCCTCCCATGCTCAGAGCTTAGTGTTTTTCCCCAACTCTGCTTCCCTTGTAAGGGGCAGAGATTGTGGGCAGCAGTCCTGGACATGTGAGATTTGTTTGAGAGATGGCTTCTGGTGTCACCTGTGATGAGCTGGTGCTTCCCCTTTGCAGAGAGGCCTACGCCAACTGCACCGTTCTGGAGGCTCGTCCCTGCTATGATGTGGCCAGGCTGATGTTCCTCGATGCAGAGAGGTAACTCCTGGGGTAACACGCATGGGCTGGTTGGGAGTGTGCAGCAGGAGTAGGGGGCAGCTGCAGAGACAAGGGTGGTGTTGGTGCAGCCAAGGTGAGGAGTGAGGCCTCCTCAGCAAAGGCTGGTCTTTGAAGCCATTGCCACAGAGGCCTCCCTGAGCCACCCTCTTTCTTCCTTTCCCCCCTCTCCTCTTGCAGGAAGAAGGCTGAGCGTGGGAGAATCTACTTCACCAACCTGCAGAGCAAGGAGAACACCCCTTCCATGATCAACCCCAAGCCCTGTGGCCACCTGTGCTGCTGTGTCATCAGGGGCTGTGAGGAGGTACACATGGTCACGAGGTGTTAGGCAGAGGGGCTTGCAGGTATTGGATGCAAGAAACTGTGCTGCCCACAGTGACTTCTCATGCTCTTGGTCCCTGCCAGTCACTGCATGTAGAGGCAGTCCTGGGATAGGAGCATGTTGCAGTCTACCTGGCTCCCCATGGCACTGCTCCAGTTTGCCTTCTTCCCAGTACTCGAATGCAGAGTTAACAAAGCTGCTTCCCCACAAGCTGGTCATGGGTTGGTTTGCCTTCCCACCTTCTCCCTGCAGTGCCCTTGTCATGACACAAAGGAGYTGGGGTGTATGGCAAGCCCTCAAGTCCCTGCTGTATCTGTCCCCTTGCTCAGGTGGAGGCCATTGAGTACTACACTAAGCTGGAGGAGAAGCTCAAAGATGACTACAAGCGGGAGAAGGAGAAGGTGAATGAGAAGCCTTTGGGGATGGCCTTTGTCACCTTCCACAACGAGACTATTACGGCCATGTGAGTGCAGAGGGGCCTGTTCTTTCGAGGAAGATGGCCTCTCCCAGCTCCCTGCTTGAATTAGAGCGATGCCAGCACAAGCCATCCATCCTTGGCTTGTCCCTGCCAACCGTCTTTGGCCGCATCTCTCACTCTTTTCTCCAGAATCCTCAAAGACTTCAACGCTTGCAAGTGCCAGGGCTGTGCATGCCGTGGGGAGCCCCGAGCCTCCTCCTGCAGCGAGTCCCTCCATGTCTCCAACTGGACAGTCAGCTATGCCCCTGACCCACAGAACATCTACTGGTGAGCCCTTTTATGGGGGTCTGCAGGCCCCAGGGATGGAAAAGGAGTGAACTCCCCMCACATTCCTCCCCTTTCTGCTTCTCTAATAACTAAATGGTTTGCTGAAGCCCGTTCTGGGTGAGCTACAGAGCCTGCTATGACTTGGAGTGGGGGGAAACCTGGGGTTGACACCCTAAGCTCATTTATACAGCCTGGACTAGTATTGCAGGCATGAGGATGTGAAACTGTCCTTCTCCTCATATGCTTGTTCTGATGCCCTGTTTCTCCCTCAGGGAGCATCTTTCCATCCGGGGCTTCATCTGGTGGATTCGCTGCCTAGTTATCAACGTGGTCCTATTCATCCTCCTCTTCTTCCTCACCACACCTGCTATCATCATCACTACTATGGACAAGTTCAATGTCACTAAGCCTGTGGAGTACCTCAATGTAAGGCCTAGGAGAGGGACATGGGACAGTGAGTAGCAGTGAAACCATCCCAAGGCACAAGAGCTGCCACAGATGAGGGGGTAGTGCAAGAGACTGTCCGCACAGTCCAACTCCTGACAGCAAGGGAGGGAAGCCCCAGCTAGGGCTGATGTACCCTGCTGTGTGCTCCTCAGCCCCCTGAGACGGGCTGCTGAGCCTGACCAGGGTGTGGTGGCAGCTGTGGTGCTGGGGCATTCAGCTGTCAGCAAAGGCATCAGCTTAGTCTCGGATCGTTTCTGACCCACCCAAGAACTGCTGTTTTTTGTGTAACCCGCAGTCTGTTCTCTGCTTCGTTGCAGAACCCCATAATCACTCAGTTCTTCCCCACGCTGTTGCTGTGGTGCTTCTCTGCTCTGCTGCCCACCATTGTCTATTACTCTGCTTTCTTCGAAGCACACTGGACCAGGTAAGGACAGCCAGCACCACGTGTTCCTAGCCATGCCACCATGTTACCTGGCACTTGCCACTTCTCACAGAAGCAAACTCCTCACTGGCTCCTCTTTGCTTCAATTTCTGTCTCCCACTACAAGACGTGATGTTCTGTGGCACCTCTTGGACACCTCAGCATCTCTCACAAACAGCTGTCTTGCCAGTCCTTGTTTCTCTACACYGTTCTGCAGCATGGTTTTTTGAGCTGAGATTGTTTTAGGTCTGCAAATAGTGGAAGAAAGCCATGAGAACTTAAGGCCAGTCACTGTGAGAAGTGCTAGGAGCAAGGGAGTCTTGGGCGAGGTAAGGTGAGTGTGCAGGTGTGGTGTGCCTGTACCCACGTGTAAATCATAGATTTTTTCAAGGAAAAAATCCCATAGCTTGTATGGCTTCTGTCAATAGAGAATATATTTGAAGTGCAGAGCACTAGCAAATGTATTCACATGTTTGATGTCAGTTTTCTTGATTGGGAAGATGTCACCAGCTGTGAAGGCTGCAGGTCAAGAGAGATGAGAACTGATGACAGAGAGTTCTCCAGAGAGCAAATAAGGATGATGGGTGATGCAAGATGAGTCTGTGAGGAAAAGGTGGAACTAGGACTTGAGAACATGCTTCAGACACACCAGAGAGAAAGGGAGAAATACTGATCTGTATCACTAGTGGGCAGTGTGAGTTTGGGCTTTGGTGCTGGGAAGGCTTGCTCCAGAGAAGGTTGATGGATGCCTAGAACAGACTGGAATGAATGTGGGCTGTGCACAGGTATTGGCTGAGGAGTTTGGACAGTGTTGTTAGGAACTGGAGAACTGAATCTCTCCTGGAAGAGATCACGCCTATAGGTATCTTCTGGTTGAACAGTTTCTTAATATTTGTGTATCAGCATTTATGCGTAAGGCATACTTGGGTCCTCCCAGGCTGTGGGTTGGAATGCAGCTGAAGATTCCTAGGCAGTTTTGACCATGCTTCTCATATCTCTGGTCCAACCACACAAGATGATGTAGGCTTTTTTTTTTCTTCTCTCCTGCAGATTATTGAAGGAAGCCAGCTGCTTCTCAGCACATCATCCACCCATTCCCTGACTCTATAAAATACATACCCTGTCTTTGTCTATTTTCCCCACTCCCTGGGAAGGCAAGACTTCTACTGCCTGTGCTTTCTTCCTGCTACTGTATGACATATCTGCTTGATGCCTCCCTCTTTATTGTAGCCCCAAACACTTAAGATTTTCACATCTTTTTTTTTGTTATTGTTGTTGCCTGGGCGCAGCCTCAGAAAAGTAAACTTTAACAGCCCAACTTAGGCCAGATTGGAGCTCACTCTCCTTAGACAACAGTGCCCTCCCAGGGATCTCCCCCTTCCCAACTTGTCCTTTCTTTGCCTCTACTGTATTTCTTGTCATCCTTTCATGGTAGCTTCTTCCTCACTCTGTGGTGAGGCAGGGCATGCACGCTGGGATTCACTTTCCCATTTCTGCTGCACTTAAATGCCTTCTCTCTACCCTCAGGTCTGGAGAGAACAGGACAACCATGCACAAGTGTTACACCTTCCTCATCTTCATGGTCTTGCTGCTGCCTTCACTGGGCCTGAGCAGGTAGGTACTTATTAAAGTAAGAAAAAAAAACTGCTTCCTATCTTATTAAAGTTCCTAGATAAAGTAGTAGTGTAAAACAAGACACTTTTCGTGCTGCATACTTGAACAGGAGAGAGCAAAAGTGAGAACTGGTATACTGTCCCCTGCAGCATGGATCTCCAGATGGGTTTTTGCCAGTAGGATTTCCATACACTAAAGACTTCCCCTTTACAAATGCTCAAGAGAGAGAAAACTGTAGTTGGTGGCCCCTATGAGACATTGCACTGCCATGAGCATGATTGCCTATGTAGACCTGCCTGTTATCACAGTAGTTGGTTCTGGAGAGCAGCCAGGGCCCAGGGGTATATACACATGTGGTTGTTGTCTACAACCTTCTCTGTGCTCACACTGGCCTTTTTTTTTTTTTCTTCCTTTTTTTTTTTTTCCCATTCCTTACTGTTCCTCCACAGCTTGGATGTGTTTTTCCGCTGGTTATTTGACAAGAAGTTCCTGGCTGAAGCTGCAGTACGATTTGAGTAAGTGGAGCAAGAGAGAAGGCTGTCTTGTAATGGGATGTCCTTACTGACATCCAGAAGTCTCCTGGGCCTTGCTCCCTGCATCTGGGGCTCCTGGCTCATTCCCTGCACTGCCTTGTGGTAGAGGGAACCCCTCCAGCAGGCTTTTCTTGCTCTCTCTTCCCTCAGGTGTGTGTTTCTGCCAGATAACGGGGCCTTCTTTGTGAATTAYGTCATCGCCTCTGCTTTCATTGGGAATGCCATGGACCTGCTGCGCATCCCTGGCTTGCTCATGTATATGATCCGCCTCTGCCTGGCCCGCTCAGCCGCTGAGCGGCGAAACGTCAAGCGAGTACGTAGCCATCCTGGGTGCTGTGGGCTGGTGGTTTCTACCTGGGATTGAAAGTGCCCAGCCAGATCCTGTGTGGATAACGTGGGTGYATTGTGCAGACAGAGGGGGGTCATATAGCCCCTCCTTGCTTGGCTTTGGGGCTGTACTCATAGGCCTCTGTTCTCTCCTGCAGCACCAGGCCTACGAGTTTCAGTTTGGGGCTGCTTATGCCTGGATGATGTGTGTCTTCACTGTGGTCATGACGTATAGCATCACCTGTCCCATCATTGTGCCCTTTGGTAAGCAGTGCCCTTCCACCTCTCTGCGCTGGAGGATGGGGGACAGCCTTGGATGGAGGCAGGATGGGCTGAGGGAAGATACTGCCTGTAGGTTAGAGGCATTGGAAAAGAGTTGGATTCCCCTCTCTACTGATATTTCTCAGGGCTCATGTACATGCTGCTTAAGCACCTGGTGGACCGGTACAACCTGTATTATGCCTACCTGCCTGCCAAGCTGGACAAGAAGATCCATTCAGGGGCTGTGAACCAGGTTGTGGCAGCCCCCATCCTCTGTCTCTTCTGGCTTCTCTTCTTCTCCACCATGCGTGCAGGTAAGTGCCAGGGTGGAAATCTTGCCCCTGCCAGAGGGCCTTGCTTTTGACCTCCTTCAATGTCCAGTTGCAGAGAAACTCTGCTGGCCTGGCACAACCCTGCCCAGCCATGCTCCTGACAGTCTGCTGGGCAGGGAGCACAGCCAGAGCTGCTGTGGCACTGCCAGTCCTTTCCTTCTTTTTTCTTTCGTTTTGCCTTGCTCCAGGGTTCCTGGCCCCGACTTCCATGTTCACCTTTGTGGTCCTTGTGATCACCATTGTGATCTGTCTGTGTCACGTCTGCTTCGGGCACTTCAAATACCTCAGCGCTCACAACTACAAGGTGAGGGCTTGGTGTTGGGTGGTGAAGTGTGGGGCCCCTTCCTGTGGGAGTGCAGCACAACAGTTAGCAGAAGATTCAGGGGACCCCAGACAGCCTTGGCATGTGAGCTTGGTCCCCAACAGAGCCTTTGAACTCCAGGTTCTCTAAGGGAAAAGTTCCTAAAGCTGCCTGGAGCTGGGCTGTGCCTTGGGACGCTGCTCCTATACTTTACCTAGAGCTCTAGGGTAGCCCTTACTGGAGCACAGCTCCTGCAGCAAGCTTGAGGGTAGCAAGACAGCAACTGTGCTAACCTGGCACTCTCTTGATTTCTCCTTTACCACAGATTGACCACACAGAGGTGGATGCTATAGAAAGCAGGCAGAATGGGAGACCTGCCACCAATTTGCCAGCTCCAAAATCCGCAGTGAGTCATTGTCCCCATCTCCATGCCCTGGCACGATCTTTATCCAGGTTTAGGAAGGGCGAGAGGGATAGCCCTGTACATCTTCCTTCTTGTCTGAGTGCCCCACTCCTGGCCTTTCTCAGGCAGCACCCAGAGCCTGCTGATGAGATGGGAGGCAAGTGTTGGGCTCTGTGCCACTCATCTGAGCCGAGTGATGAATTTTAATCCTCCCTCTGCCTGCTTTGCTACCTTTTGTCCGTTTCCTTAATGCTGTGTGATCACTTTCTGCCATGCTACCAGCTGGCACAGTGAGTACAGGCCAGCTAAGTCTCACTTGTTCTGCATCTCTGACTCCTTGTCCATCAGGAAAGTCTGGTACCCAGCGGGTTGGCSCTCAGGCAATGTAAGCGAGTCACCATAGGTGGTGTATTGAAAGCAAAGAAAATGCTTTTTCCCATTTAAAGCTTTGGGAGACTCCCCTCTGCCTATTTTGGAGATCTCAGGTTCAGTCTTTTGAACTTCTCCTTGGTTTGCTGAATCTATTCCAGCTACTTTCCACAATGAGATTTTTTTATTATTATTTTTTTTGGCTGCAGCTGAGGTCTGTGCAGAGACCAAGGAGTGTTCAGGTTGCTGCCAGGCTCCTTGATGCTGCTTATCTTTTCCCCTGAGCTGAGCTGGTGGGGGGAAAGAGATCTCCTGGCTGGGCACTGCCCCAGCGGGGCAGGCTGCAGCTGCACACTTCTCTGCTTGCTGCTGTCAGGCCTGCAATGCCAAGGCAGAGAGTTCATATTGCTGCGGCTCCCTCACCCACCAGGCCCCTTCCCTGTGTGCAGGAGTCCTGAAGAGAGGCGAAGGGGGAGTTTCTGCTCTCGGTAGCTCAACACAGGCTTGGGTGTCTGTGAGCCCAGCMCAAGGGTGTTCAAGAATTAAATGCAGAGATTAAGGGAAGAGGAGCTTTCTGCACTCTTGGGAGAGCTGGGCTCTGATGTGTATATGTAATCTATACTAGAGTCTCCCATGTGGTCTGGGGGAGTCACTTTGCCTTCCTAGCTTCCTGTGTATTTACTCAACCTCCTAGCTCTATGCTGCTTCACCCCCTTGTGCTTTGCTGTCCTGAATCCTGCAGGGGTTGTGAGAAGCTCCCAGAGCTCACTTGTTTGCTCTCCCTACCCCAACCCCTCACCCTTGTATTATTTGTGTTGCCCCAACAGAAGTACATTGCCCAAGTGCTGCAGGACTCCTCACCCGAGGGCGAAGCAACCGAGTCCGAGGAGCAGGGGTCCCAGGATGAAGAGCTYATCAACGGGGATGGCATGAATGACACGGATTTCCAGTCATGTGAGGACAGCCTGATAGAGAACGAGATCCACCAGTAGGGACCTGAGAGGGAGTGAGGGAAAGGAGTCCCAGGCGCTGGGCAGGCTGCCGCACATGGAGGCAGAGAGAAAAACACTGAATGAAGTGCGCAGGCAGGGAGGGTGCCAGCTGCTGCCATTGCCCACCCCCAGGGCCACTACCTTCAGCGAGGGCAGGGGCGCTGAGGCTCTCCATTTCCCTGCCTCCTCCACCCCTGCCACTGCTCCATCRGGCACCCAGGGAGCAGCAGTGAGGGGCATGCTCCTTGCTAGCCACCTTCTTGGACACACATCCAGACCGCACAACCCCAGGGGCTGGGGAGGAAGGTGACTTTTACCCTTGCTGAACTGCTTTTGTGAACCAGGAGGACCCAAGGAGAGCAGGAACATTGGGTGCTTTGTGGGGATAGGGTGAGCACTGGGGACAGGGGGAGCCTTCAGGCACCTCTGGGACTCTAGGGACGGATKGATCCTTTGACCTCCGTTCTCCTGAAAAAGGAACACTAATAACTTATTAGATTTTCAGGAAAGCAATGAACACAAAGCTTTAACTGGCATATTGGCAGCAAAGGGCTGGGAAGGGAGGCGGCTTTGAGCYGCCGGGAACTGTTGTGTCTATGCAGAGCTGCTCTCCCTTCTCTCTACGGCCGGATGGGCCCTTGCTCTGCCGTGGCTATCCACTACACCCACCCACACACCCAAACACACACCCTGTGCTCCCACCGCCTGCCCACAGCAGGAGCTCGTGTCGACCCTGGGCTGGGTGAGGGCTGGAACACTGCATTGAGCAGCTGCCCCCCCCATGCAATGTGAGGGGCGCTGAGGGCATTCCTTACTTCYAGGAGACCTCTTTCCTGGGTGATGCCCCCTACCCCTCCCCAGGCTTGCAGCTGGGGGGACACTGCATCCTTTTAAGTAGCATTTTTTTGCACATTTTTGCTCCCCTTTCAAACAAAACCTGACCCCCACGTGCTGCCCCAGCTCCCTGTGCCGCCCTGTGTCTGCACAGCCTCGATGGGCACAGGGAGGGCTGGGTTGGTGTGGTGGGAGTCTCCTGGGTGCTATGGAGAGGGGAGAGGGGCCTGGACCACACAGCCCCCCAGCACAGGCGGAGGCGAGCGTGCTTGGTGACCCCTGGGTCGCTGCCTTCCCTGTACTTRCAGGTCTCAACTCAATGCAGGAGGTGGTCACAGAGGGAGGGAGCCTCTCCCAGGCAGCCCACTGCTTCCGCGAGGCCAAGGGCCCCGTGCAGCTGTGCTGGCTTTATTTATATGCTTCACGCCCAGTGTGAGAGGGGGAAGCCGTTCCTGCACCCTCTCTGCCCTTGCTGCCCTCCCTGGCAATGACAGTGTCCCCAAGGCAGGGAGGGGACAGAAAGGATGCCAGAGGATCCTAGGCCAGGGGCAGGTCTAAGGCTCAAGACCTGCAGGTGGGAGCAGGCAGAGGATGTAGACTGGAGCCCCTGGCACACGCAGGGCCCTGTAACCCTCTTTGAAGGTTCTTGGGAGGGCATTTCTGGGGTCAGGATCACTTGCCCTCAGTTGCTTCCTCCCTTACCCTTGTGTAAAATGTAAAGGAAAAAAATAAATCTCCCTGCTATTGAGCTGTATTTATTTCCCCAAATCCCCTGCCACCATCATGTTTGGTGCTCATTGCTGACACTACCGCCTTCCCTTGCCTGTCTTCGGAAGGCTGCTCTGGCTTGCTGGAGCCAAGCCTGGTGCCCTGTAGCTGGCTCTCCTGGGGCTTTGGGAAGGGGACAGTCATTTACCATTTTATTCACTATTTCTGGCCCTGGGGCTCAAAGCACTTTATAGACCCAAATGATTGAAGATTCAGCCCTTCCAGCTCTGGCCTGGGAAAGGGCAGTCACAACTGATTGCTTCTTTATTCCCCCTCTCCCCCTGTTAGAGGAGGGGATCCTGAGGCACAGAGCAGGCAAAGGGCTTGTCCTGGGTCACACGGCTCCAGGAAGGATGTAGCTGACTTTTCCATACACCTCTCTAATAGGAATTCCAGGCCTGGAAGAGCTAGGGGGCAGAAGGGAAGAGACATGGAAGCAGGAGAGGGCAGGCTCTGTCTGGCCTCGAGGCTCCAGATGAGCTGGAGAACGTGCAGGGTGCGGGAAGGCACATTGGCTTGTTGTCCATCCCCTTCTGGGACAGGCTCTAATGAAATCTGCATGTGAGATGAGAGCTCCCAGCACAGTTGTGGGTTGGAGAGGCAAGGATGTTGATCCTGCTTCCATATTCCCGTGCCCATTTAGCACCCTTCTTCCCCGTGGCRGGCTGGCTCCGATCCCTGCACGGGCGGTTGTGGCTCCAGGGCTGCGCCTGTAGCTGTTGGGGCCATGGTCGGGCTCTGCCCACGGAGGCCTGTGCTCTCATTGGCACTGTCTGTGTAGAGATGTGTATAATACCCTGTATATATTTGTGTACAAAAGAAAAAGGAAAAAAAAAMCTGTTGTTTTGTGGTCTTTCATTGTGGAGTGGGCACCTGGAAGGAGGGAGAGACCGTGGCTGCAGTGAGGATGCAGCAGCGTCCTGTTTTGAGTGGAAGTAAGTGGCATCCTGGCTTCCTCAGGACTTGAGTTTGTGGGGGGGACCAGCACCCTCCTCCACAAGCTGTGGCAGGGCGAACACAGGGCAAAAGGTGCTGCCTGCAACCCAAAGCTGAGAAGTGACACCTGGGTGCAGAGGCACAGAACAGCAAGACCAAACAGGAGCCATGTTACCTGCTGCCAAGTGTCTGGAGACATCACTACAAAGGAAAGCTTGAAGAGRAGATAACACGGAAACTGAGCAAGCATTTGCTGGAACTGACACAAGAGGCAGCCTGTGTGAAAGGGTTTTGTTGGAGCTGTCTCAAGCCCCATGAGAGCCAGCTATCTAAGGGGCTTGCAATTCAAGGGGCAGCAGTACAACAGYCTTTTGTACATAAGTTTTCTGTCTTACATTACTGTGTAGTGCCTTCCTTGGCGGCACGTGGCTTCTTTTCACCTCTCCCAGCTGGGCTGGGTGAGCGAGCCCCACGGTGGGTGGTTGCAGCTGGTTCTCCTGGGAGCCCTCGGTAGGGCAGAGTCACAGCAGCTCAACGCCAGCACTTGCTGCGTTTGTGTGTCCTTCCCTCCCTGGAGGTGGGGACAGGGCAGCTCTAGCAGGTCCTGGCCGGAGCTGGAGCTTTCCTTTGTGTGTACAATGGCACAGCTGTGGTTCCTCCGGCTTTGAGTATCCTGGTTGCCCTTCCCTGGGGTGGCACTTCAAATCCCAACCCTGTGTGCAGCTTGGGGCAACCATACTTGGCAAGCAAGGAGCTTGTCTCTCTTCTCTGGCATCTGCTGTTTGTGCTCTTGACCAGTTTTTTGTTCCTTTGCTGTGTGGGAGATAGGACCACAGGTGGGCACGCTGCTGTTTCAGCCTCTTCCCCCAAGACTCAGACTGGCCAAGGACTGTGTTCCCTTCCCTCCTGCCCTGTTCCGCAAACCACCAGCACAAACATTACTGCAGGAGAGCAGTGGTGCAGAGCTATGGTCCAGCCCTGCCCCAGCTGTGGGCTCATGTCCCTCCCAGCCATGTTGTGGGCAGGGGATTGCAGGCAATGGAAACATCGGGAGACAAGATACTCCTTCACCGGTGCTGGGTCAGGACTGCTGCTCTGGTCCATATGTCCTCGATTGGGCAGAACAACTCAGATCATACCCCACATGGCCTGACCAAGCAATGTGGCACAGTGAGATGTGGGGCCTTCAAAAGCTGTCCTTGTCCCCCGGGGCCTGGGAGCACTGGAACAGGCAGCAAACACTCTCCAAGGGAGATGAGGGACCACATGGTTGCCACCTCCCAAGGTGAAGTGTTAGCAGGCCCCTCTGCTGCAACAAGGTACAAGAGGAGGTGAAGGGATGCCCAGGTTGGTGACCCTCCTTGGATCTCTACACGWAGCCTCAGATCTCGGGAAAGGCACAGAGCTATTCCTCAGACAGGAGGGGTGCATGGAGGTACAGGCTGGGGTGGGCTGCACTGAATCGTGCTGGGTTGAGCTGCGCTGGTCCGTGCTGTGCCACGCCATGCAGTGCCAGGGCAAGCCCCGCTGCCAGCCATGCGTGCCGGCAGCGGCACCGCCCCACATAGGTGCACCCTGAGTCACTGTAAGCAGACACACATGAGCGGCCTGGGGCGGGAGGTCCAGGGGCAGTGCGACCAGCTCAGGGTGGCTCATCCACACCCTGTAGCTAAGGGCAGCTGGCTGGGAAGGGTACACAGGCCAGGGCTAGCTGTGGTGACCAGCGCTTGCACCATGTCCTGTGGGAGAACCAGGCTGCCAGGCGCACCGCAGGCGCTGGGCACCAGGAGCGCCCGGCCCTCTCTCTAGCCCCAGGAGCTGGCAGCTTGCTGCCTCATCCCGCACAACTCCCACCCRGGGCAGGCTGCTTCCTCTTCTCCTTCCATCCCTCCTCTGCGTGCCCTGAGCCCCTCCACTCAGCAAGGGAGCCAGGACAGGGCTGCCCACTGTGAGGCTGAGCCTGCGCTGCCGGGAGTGCTCCCGTCCCGYGCCGCCCTGCCTGGGCTGCCTGTGCACCCCCGGGCAGCAGGGAGGGAAAACTTGGGGCCAAGGCTCTCTTCYGGAGGTCCCTCCTGACCAAGACCTGCCTGTACTGGGGCTGCCAGGCGAGCCCAAGCTCCGACGCTTCCCCAGCGCGCGCAGGAGCGAGCAGCGGTGCCCCGCGCCCGCGGCCAGGCCCGGCCCGGCCCGGAGGCCAGAGCGGCTTCGCCCTCCCGGCGGGGCGGGCAGGGCAGCGCAGGGAGCCGCGGGGCCGGCGGCTGCTGCGCCTTTAATTCCCCGCCCTCGCTCAATCCGAACCGCCCGCACATCCTGCCCGGAGAAACCCCACCTTCCGCGGAGCCGAGCCGAGCCGAGCCAAACCAGGCCGAGCCGAGCCGAGCCGAGCCGAGCCGAGCGGGCTGGGTTGGGCCGGGCCGGGCGGCGGCAGCTGCGCGCACCGTGAGTGTCCCTTCCGCGGAGCCCCCCGCGCT